AGGACAATGCAACAGTCTCCAGTGTGTCCCAGAAATACATGACAGAAGAATCTGAATGCAAACATATGAAAAAAAGCCCTCAGGTGGTTGTTAATTTTTGGTGCTGTGTAATTAAGCTTGTTTTCTAATGTTATCTTGTGCCAGTGTCTAATTAGTAGAGCCATCTGCTAATAGAGCAGTGGCCCATCTGCCTAGATAGTCTTCCCTTCACTTTTATGAAAAGTATCTGCCATTGCATGGTCCCTGTTGGATCAACTTCTCTTGCTGTGGAATGGGAGAGCATCTGATTTCCTCTTGGGATCACGTCTCCGTTTATCATGCCAGAAGCACTCTGGGTACCCCATGGGAACTGAGTGTTTCACAAAAGGATTGGAGGTTCCTTCCATCACCAGTGTTTCTGCCACCTGCGAAGGGATTTTCTGTTGCCCACTCTGATTTTTGTTAGGTCTGACTGTAGCACTCTCGTGGCTTGGAAACCATGATTCTGTACATCCAAGTGTATCACTGGATCCCGGGTGAACCTGTGTGTGGTAAATCCAAGCAGAAAATGAGTGCTGTTGTGCGATCAAATTTCACCTGCCGCCACAAAGACTGATGCAGATAACTCACACTGATTATGAAGTGACATCTGACAAGTGCCAGTATGTGCCACATGTGCCTGTTTTTCATAAGCAGGTCTTTATCTAGCAGCGTGTATGGTACTTGGTAGGTACTTAAAGTTTCTTTATGAAATGAGAAAGATAATGGGTGCCTGGGAATAATGCAGACCTCTGTATGTTCTGTGAGGGCACAGGCATTATTGCACAATCTTCAGAGAAAAAGAAAATGAGCCACAACAGAAGCCTTCTCTTCCAACATACAGATGCTTCATTGATTCTTTCTATATCCGAGTAACCCTAAAATTACTCCTGTATGTGCACTGTAGCTAAAAAAAATAAGAACACTAAATGTCAAATGGAATAGAGAATTAGTATTACTTTTCCCGCCTATCATATTGTGCAATAGAATAAAAACTAAAGATAAAAAAGTACAGATATTTTTAAAGTCTTCAGGAAATAAGGCTGAGTTGACATTTGTTTTGACAACCATAAAGATAGATTTAGATGGGTATAAATGTGTGTGTAATGAATTTGAAGACACATATAAAGATGGCTTCTCAAATCAATAGTGAGTTTTGTTCCAAAATAATGATATATATAATAATAACAGGTTTCACTGAGACTAGAAGGAGGTTTAACTAAAAGGTCTTTCATTGATTAGAATGGATGTCCTACTATAAAGGAAGTTAGAAGCAGATTAAAAGAAGCTAACCCCAAGCAAAAAGTGGATTACTTTAAGAAATAAGGGATTCAAGAAGAAAGTTTCGTTGTTATGTACATTTGTCTCCCATGAGACCAATTCTCCTCATTTCTGCCAAGTAATCTAGTGGACAAAGTCTAGTTCACGGAGCGAAAGAAAAACAGGATGTGATGAATCTGAAACTCAATTCTAATTCAATTCTGCGTTCCATTTATCGTTCAGCAGTGTCTAATAATGTGTCTCCACTTGGTATCTTACATTATAAGTACAGTTCCATTCTTCTATTAGTATAGAAAGTGAACCCACAGAAAAGCTATACAATCATGGTCTTTAATTAATTCTGGATTTGAATATTATTGGCACACTGGTGATACCATAATGAAAATGCCTCTGGAAAGGAACTTCTCTACTTTTAATAACTGTCTTGAGAAAAATCTATAAGATTTGTTCTATTTTCTACTGGTCTAATAAACTTGTGTGAACATTTGCTATGTTTTGGTATTCCAAATAAAGTAATGAAATATTTATGAAAACTCTCACATTCCTTTTTCTATTACTTTTCCCTTCCAGTCCCTGGTCAATATTTATCTTGAAAATGTGAAGGCCACTTGAGTAGTAGGCAGACTTATGAAGCTGTTTGCTTACCTTGCAGCACCAGGAGCTAAACAATTCTGATGGCATTTAATAAATATTCTCCTTCTTAATCCTGGGACAAACCCTGCTCCACATAGCTCTTACATTTACTGTAGAGGCTATTAATATTTAACTTTGTTATTGTTGTTGTTTGGTTTTTGTCCATCCTGAGGCTTAAACTCAGTGCCTGGGCAATGTCCCTGAACTTTTGTGCTCAGGGCTAGCACTCTACCACTTTGTGCCACAGAACCACTTCCATTTCCTGGTGGTTGATTGGAGCTCAGAGTTTCATGGATTTTCCTATGGTGGCTGGCTTCCAATCTTGATCCTTAGATCTCAACCTCTTGAGTATCTAGGACTACAGGCATGAACCACCTGTGCCTGGCAATATTTAACTTTTAATAGCATCACCATTCCAGAAAGAGCCATTTGAATGCCTCCTTAGCTAAAACTCTTCATTGTACAGTTTCTCTTATACAAGCAATAAGTCCCTTTCTGAAATATATATCTTTGTGTACATATAAAAATTTATATACACATATACACTTACACATATATATATGTATACATGTGTGCATGTGTGTGGATAGATTTAGATAGATAGACAGACAGACAGACTTTTGGGTGTATGTTTGTGTGTGTGTGGAGGCATGTATGTCTTTATTTAAATAAAAAATAGAATCCAGCCCTGCACAGTGGTTCACACCTGTTATCCTAGCTACTCAGGAGGCTGAGATCTGAGGATCATGGCTCAAAGCCAACCCAGGCAGAAAAATCCCTCTTATCTCCAAGTAACTACTCAAAAACCACAAGTGGTGCTGTGGTTTCAAGTGGTAGAGCACTAGCCTTGAGCAAAAGAGCTCAGGGATAGCATCTAGGCCCTGAGTTCAAGCCCCATGACTGACAAAAAAAAATTAAGAGAACTTTACAAACCAAATGTTAGAGATCAAATCAGTTTAACATAATCCAGTAATCTCATTTAGTACATCTACCAGTTGCTTACAAGATTTAGATGCAACATCCTGTGCAAGCTCCTGCCTCTTCTTTCTATCCTAGATAGAAGTCAGTGTCACTGCTTGTATCAGAGGCTGATGAGCTCTAATTTTACTGCTGCCACTCAGTTGATGAACAGGAGAATATTCTTGGAAGGACTATGAACTTCTCTTCTCATGTGTTGACACAGACAAAAGTCCCCACATCTGCACAAGGGAACACATATGTAGGGTTGTTTCTGTATTAAATTCAGGATGTCCATTGCTCTGAAATACATTTTAGGACTCACATTTAACAAAGTTAAATATTAATAGCCTCTACAGTAAATGTAAGATAAGTAAGATAAGGTATCTATAATGTAGCATATTATGACTTAATCTATGTTATGCAGTTTTCTTTGGTGATAGCTGAGAGATTTTTTTTGTTAGGCCTGATTTTACTGTTTGTCCAAGTGTAAGGGAATTTAGAAAAATTCTTATAAGTGTAAAAGAGTAGTTTCTATTTTAATGGCTTTTATTTTGACATTTTCCTACATGCCCAAAATGTCTGTAAGCATATGGCCACATCACCGACTCCTAGTTTCCCCCCTCTACAGTCCCCTGTTTTATGTTATGTTCCCTCTTCTTAACTCTAGAATCTGATTTTGGGATAAGCTGTGTTATGTGTCTTTGTAAGTCTGGTGTATGTTGGTTAACATGATTTCTAGTTACATCCATTTTCCTGAAAATAACATAATTTTATTCATGAATCATATTCTATTTGTGTCAGCAGACCGAATCTCGTATTGCATTTTTCTGTTGATGGAAACCTCGGCTGATTCCCTAGCTGGTTTGTTGTGGTTGTGCTGGTGTCTCTGTTGTAATGCTGACCAACATTTCTTCCAGCATATATCCAGGTGTGGTAGAGCAGGGTTTGGTTTTGGTAATTTGAGGACACTCCACACGGGTTTCCATAGTGGTGGCACTAATACATGCTCCCACCGATTGATGCCCTTCTCAAATTCCTTAGAAATTCCATTAACAGTAAGATAGAATATAATTGTAGTAGCTGATGAAGAAATGGAGAAACTATTTTATCCTACAAAATTCACGTACCCACTAATATCCAAAGGAATAGTAGAAAGTAACCACACGGTTTTTGGTGGAGTCTAAAGTAGGGGAACACGGGATTAGAGGGAGGAGGGGTGAGTGAATGCAGCCATTGCATCCGATGCACACTATGTAAAAAGCTAACTACGTAACTGTGGTCAGGGATGGGAGGGGGAGATGAGGAAAAGCCAAGGAAGGGGTGACAGTGACCAGGAAGCACTGTACTCATGGGAAAAAGGGAAGAAATAGTAGAGTAAAAGCAACTGCAATGCCCACAATATGCAAAACAATTTGTCTCAGTAAAGGCATGTTCTAGAAATTTCTGTCCCTGTGAAACAAGTACTACCTGATGAATCCCACATTCTTTTTTTGGTGAATGGAAGTATGAAAATACAGATATAAAATTGAATTTTGAAAGCCGGAGAAATGATGCTTAAAAGCCATAGTTCTAAATATTTTGGGATAATAACAGAAGATTTCTGGTTTCAGGGAAAATTGTTTTCTTTGCATGACCTATGTATTTTTCTGCTGTCCTCTGTATACACATCTTACTTATTAGGATATACATAGTCATCCTCACTTGGTTATCTGTTATTGATGAATGTGCATTTGCTACAATAAACTCTATAGATTTGAAGGAACACTAGCATCATTTTCTTGTGGCTGTGGTTTTCCACAAGTGATTCCGAGTAAAATCAACACCAGCTCTTGTCACCTGCCTCTCTAAAAACAACCAGACCTAACCACCTTACTACTACTATGCAGAATCAAGCACTCAGATGCTCAGTACTTTAAGTACCTCAGTTTTAAACCCAAATGTGACCTGATGACTGGGCTTCATATATTCAGCATAAATCTTGTCTGAATTTCAAAGGATTGGTTCCAGTATGTGCCATGTGGGCTGACTTGGTTCCCAGGATTGTCTACTTTTCCCCTTTTTACTCAATTCAACCCCTAATAGTTGCTCTGCCTTGATGTTTCCTGCAGGCTGTGGAGTGGGGATGTGACGAAGCTACCCAGAAGGCCTGTTACAGCAAGGGAAAGTCAAAGGTAAGCTGTCTCCACAGGGCCTGTAAGGACCGCATGGAAAGCGTTTTGATGCCTGGCTCTGTGATGTCCTGGAAAGTACACGCCAACAAACATAAAAGTATACAGCAAATGGTCAAATTTTTAAGATTACATGAAAAGTAACTAGAACAACTAACCATCATTTCCATTATAGGTATATATACATGTATGTACCAAATCTAATTGTAGATTTTAGTCATTAAACTTAGATTTGAAATTAACTGACTTCATATTGTTTGAAAAAATGAGGATATTTTCAAAATAATATTTTATTTTAGTTCTGTCATACATTTGTAGTTCACCACAGAAAATACGTGTAAGATACAAATTTTTATGGTAATGAAGGTCAAATTCAGAGCCTTGTGCACGCTAGTTAAATGTCCTACCACTGAGCCACATCCCCAACTCAATAAAACTGCATGCAGAAATCATTTAAATCACATTTCATAATTTATCTTGGCGTTCCTTGAAATAAACTGTCTCTCTTGTGGGTTAAAATGGATGTGCCGTACTTCCTATAGAAAACACACTGTATTGCGAAGCGTAGGAATGCATTCTAGAGCAAATGTGTTGCCTTCCAGGCCTATATAACTAGCAGGATCTGTAACAGCCATGGTTCTTTAAAAGTTTGTCCTTGATTCTCTGGAAGAGAGTCCCTCCTTCAGTTGGTACACAGACTCACTGTATCACTCGTTCTGTGAGTGATCTTCCTGTCCTGGCTGCGGGCTTTTCCAATGGTGCCTTGGGCTTTTGTTCAAAGAAGATGCACACAGAGGAGCAAGATAGTACAATGGGGAGCTTGCTGGGTAAAGATGGCCCAGGGCCAACGGTCAGTATAGCACAAACAGAGAATACTAGCAAATGGTTCTCATGCTATGTGTGTTTGTAAGAGTTTGTAAGAGGCAAGCAGGGTGCTAGTGGTACATTCATGTAATGGTAGTGACTTCAGAGCATAAGAGGATCAGAGTTCAGGGACAACCTAGGAAGAAAAGTTCCTAAGTCCCTGTAGCCCCCTCACGGGATGCAGTGGTATCTGCCTGTCTTCTGAAGCTATTCAGAAGGCTAAGATTAGGAGAGTTGTGAGGAAGGCTCAGATTGAGAGGATTGCTGTTCTAGGTCAGAAAGGTCATCAAGACTGTCTCAAAGGAGGGAATCTGAACACAGGAAACACACAGGGCGGCGTGTGACACAGTGGTTTCTCATCAGCTTCACAAGTGTGAGGCCTCGAGTTCAAGCCCTGATAACGCCCCCTCCTCCAAAAAGAAAATGTGATGCCATTTTTTTTTATTCTTACTTAATTTCATTTCACTGCTTGCTTTCCAGTCCTATAATTTCAGCATTTTGAGAGTCAGTTTCTGAGGCAAGTCTCAGCCCATGTAGTTATTAGGTTTCTGAAAACTGGCGTTTAAAAAGTAGATAGGTAGGAGGCAAAGAAGTCGGGAGAAACTGTAGCCTTAGCCTAGTAAACAAAAAATAAAAAGGCAGAATTGGTAAAAGCTACTTACTGAAAGGCATTTAACGTCAGGTTTCAAGACAGAGCATGTGTGGACCAACCCACATTGCATCCGTGATGAGTCCCAGAAAATCCCAGAAGCCATTTCTTTCCATCCTGCATTTTAATTTTCCAGCTCTGGACCGGGAGGCCAGGCCCGCTGGTGTCATGGACCCTTCAACCGCCTTGAGCACACAGGTACACAGAGCGGCCATGAGTGGCATGGAGCAAGGGGTTGGATACCTGAGGCCCACATCAGGGCTGTGAACTGCATTCAGTTTGCCCCCTTTACCACACTGGCCTGGGGACCAGATCACTCTTTTGAGGGGACCAATTCTGTACACTGGCCCCTGCCCAGCCAGTCATGACAACCCAAGTGACCACCAGTCGATTCTACCAGTCCTGAGCTGCCCAAGAATCCACATTCTCATTTCCAAACTGGTAAACATACAAATGGCAACATTTACACCATTCATTTCAATTCTGTTTGTGTGTTTTCATCCTTGAACTGGGGATAGGGTTGGCCAACTTGAAAACACTGAGAGTAATTCTGCCCTCATCTATGGACTTTGGTGTCTCTTTTTAAAAGAAAGCACCAAATTACTTAATGGATTCAGTGCTTTCTTCCATACCTAGTCCACAAGTGCCTGATTTTAGAAGAATGTGGGTACTTTCCATTTCCTGCTATACAATTACTACTTTGGGAGGCAAATTGTATATCTTGAAAGAAAACTGGCCCATATTTTACCTTACACCATGAATATCTATTGTTTAGGAATTAAGCAAGTAAAATCCACAAGAATAGCACCATTATCGCCAAATAGGTAACCAGTCTTTGATTCTCTGAAGGGACTATTACCACTATACTTAATTTATTTTTCCCAGTATGAAGAAGGAAAATTTGTATTAAAGAGATTAAAACAATTCTTTTCCAGCTCATATGATTTTGGTTTCAATGGGTTGGGGTAGAGGCAAAATTCAGTAATTATACTTCGATTCAAAGTCAGATTTTTAAGATTAATAAGGTAACACAAATGAAGATAAATCTTAAAGACTGTATACTCTGAGAAAGATAAATCACATTTGCTTTTAGGTTGTATTAGTGTATTGATAAATGTACCTAGAATTTTAAATAGCCCCTGTATACCATTAAAGTGGATATAGTGGTTAATACACGTAATACCACAGTCTCTTGGGATTTTGAGGCCAGAGGAGGACCCCTAGAGCCCAGGAGATTGAGACCAGCAAGACCAGCAAGACCAGCCTTTGCGACAGAGACCTCATCTAGTGTGTGTGTGTGTGTGTGTGTGTGTGTGTGTGTGCGCGCGCGCGCGCACGCGCAAGCGTGCATGTGTGTTGTGTACACTGGAAGGTCACATGTTCAAAATGAAGTATTGGCTTCCCAAATATGTTGACAGCCTGGGTGTGAGAGGTGAGAATGGAGAGCTTCCCTCTTTTCTTATTTTAATCAACCTCCTAATACCATTACCATCTATCATTATAAGAACACAGGAGAAGCCACATTTTGAGAGGTTAAATCTTAGAGTCATTATTGGAACACTAGTGGTCTGCAGGCAGCCAATTGTTACAAAGGCCTTCAGCCCACAAATATACTTAACACAGTTAAGGAACTGGCCAGAGAGGAAAGAAAGAACAAAAACAATACCAATAAACCAATCCAGCTCCATGGAGAGCTGGAGTGACTAGAGAACAGCCAGGAGACAGGACAAGAACGCAGAAGTGTGTGGTGCCTGGGCCAGTCCAGCCCTATATAGGGTCAGGTCAGGGGGCAGGGTCACAGGAAGCTCCCAGTCCCAGGCACTGGACTGACAGGTTCAGTCACCTATCAGCCAAGTGTCTGCCAAGTGTCTCCAGGGATTCAGGCATGCTCATCACCTGAAGGGTAAGGGTGGCTTCACCTTCCCCCAGACAAGAGGCCAACAGGGCGCAGGCCAGACCCAACCTCCTTACTTCACTATGAGGGATCCAAGCCCAGATCCAGGGACAACGAAATGAAAGAAACGAGACTGCCCTAGAAAAGGAGAAACAATCCTCTGCCTGCCTGTCAGCAGCTAGAATTTAGACAATCTCAATTTCCCTGTTCTGACAGTTCCTAGGAGCCAAATCAGATAGCATCTTCACAGTCCATTTGATTGCATTCAGTGTCTCTTTGGAGCAGTGGAATTCAGGCTTTTCTTAGTGGTCATAATCTTAGGAGGATTTGCTTGTGTTATAGTCTTCTGAGAATGTACACTGAAATACAAAGTTTTCTTTCTCTCCGAAATAAATAGAATAATGCAAAATGTGCCATCTCGAAAATGAGGAAAAAGCCAGCCATTATAACTGAGTGACTTGCTTTCCTACCCCTCCAAAAGCTGTCTGTTCTGTACCACACAATGGAATTTTATTGCCAGGCAGTGTCTGGAAGAGGTCACAGCTCCTGCAATGAGGTGAAGGGTGGGGGTGGAAACTATCTATACACACCTGCTTCTAGGATAAAAATGTTCTTCGGCTGGCTGAAGATCTTGGTGCAGTGAAGGTGATAACTTTCCTTCTTTTCTCTAGGGTAGAGTCAGGTCTCTACTCAAGTAGAGCACATAAAATTATAAATTGGAGAGTCAGATTTAAAGAAAACATCCCATTTTAATTTAGTCAGGCCTCGAATAAAATTCTAAGGTAGAAGGTATTTTGAGTGGAGGACCACTTCTGACTTATTTATAAAATGTGCAACTCGGGGTGGCTGACACCTACTCTGTTATGACACTAAGATTTCTTACATTTAGTTAGCTTTGAAATAGCATTGTACTAATCAAACTCGGATATTTGTATTTCACACAAATATTATTTTAGACACAAAGATTCTATTGTCTTACCATCTAACAAGAGTTTTCTTGTCTTTTGGGATTCTTATGTCTCTACTGAATTCCTCCCACCAAGACAGTTAAGAATGTTACAAAGGAGACACAACTGACTATTAAGTGCATGAAAGGGCTTCTTTGTGCTTTTATTACACTTTATAGTTTTCAAAAGGTTCTTGCTCATGATCTCATTTTAGAAATTTTGACACTAAGTTCCTAGAATTATTTTGCCAGTCAGTGGGAGAATTTTGATTGGAATCCAGGGCTCTGTGTATTGTTCATCCTGCTGCATCCTGTGGTCCTGTTTCCCGAGTTGCCAAACTAATGTTAAAAAATGAGGCAGACATCTTAGGACTAATCAAAGCACATCACCACACCCCAAGTTAGGGAGGTTGGCAGTAGAGGACTAGATCCTTACACCTTTTACCAATGGTGTCAATACTTCTGAAAGCTATGAATTAATCAATGTGTGGGGCATTGTATATGTCTGGATTGAGTATGTCATTAATGTAAAATGGAGAACATTAAGGTCATATACTAGTATTTTATGCACACCTAGAACACCTCTTCCACAGTTCAACCAATCCTGACCATGTTTAGGCCTGTGTTGCACCTGTACTGATCAAGAAGTA